GCACGCATGCCAGGCGAGCGCGCTACCGCTTGAGCCACATCCCCAGCCCCCATATTTTGTATTTTACTTAGAAACAAGAAACAAGATTCTCGCTGAGTTGCTTAGCACCTTGCTGTTGCAGGCTGGCTTTGAATTCACAATCCTCCTGTCTCAGCCTCCCAAGCTTTTGGGCCAATTTACATTTTATTTATTTTTTTTTAAGAGGAGAGAGAATTTTTTAATATTTATTGTTTAGTTTTCAGTGGACACAACATCTTTGTTTTTGTATGTGGTGCTGAGGATGGATGCCAGGCGAGCGCATTACCGCTTGAGCCACATCCCCAGCCCCCAATTTACATTTTAGCAGGTGTTACACTGGGTTTTTAGGGAGAGAAACAAATACCTTTACATAAGGTTACTGTTGTTTTTGGTGCTAGGAATTGAACCCGGGAACACTTGACAGCAGAGCTATATCCCCAGTTCTGTATTTTGAGACAGGGTCTCACTGTTGTTACTTAGTGTGCCTGCCATAAGGTTACGTTTAAGATAAGCAAAATGGATGAMTCCACAAGCTCAGGTGGTTTCATCTGAGAAATAATTTCAACTTCAGAGGTAGAAATAGCCTTTACAACTGTGTGTGTGTGGGGGGTGAGCATTGAACCTTTTTACAAAGGAGATGATAAACACTGGGTCGATTTGAGTTGTCATCACCCAAGTATCAGTTGTTGGCTATGATTAGACCCTATCACCATGATGAATGTTGGAAATTGAACCTCTGTTGAATACTAAATCCTACCACATAGACTGAAAAGGGATACTAAAGTGTCTAGAATTTTTTTTTTTTTTTTTTTACAATGTTCTGTTCCACACCCCTTTGGAATAAATGATAGAAATTGCTGGGCATGGTGGCACATGCCTGTAATCCCAGTGGCTCAGAGGCTAAGGCAGGAGGCTTGCAAGTTTTTGAGGGCAATCAGCAACTAAGTGAAGCCCTAAGCAGCTGGGTTGTAGACGTAGCTCAGCGGTCAAGTGCCCCTGGGTGTCCAAAAGTCACATAGCCACTAGAGGGAGCTATAACAAAAAGCCMGGAAATTATCCCTGTTACTAATTCACACAGCAAGGTTAAGGGAGACCAGCTTCCTTGATCTGGATCAAGATGGTTTGGGTAAATTTTGTTATGATCACCTCTGCCTTCTGTATGTTAAAATATCCTTTCCCTTTTCAGCTTCTGGATCCATTTAGGTTTTGACTAGTACTTACCTTGTAGGTAATTCAATTTGTATAAATCACAAAAATGACTAGATTCTGGGACTTATTAGAAGATGACCTGCATTTGCTTGTATTTCTGTCTATCTTTAGGTAAGGTATAAAGCGAGGAACATGAACTTGATACAGGAGTAGGTGCCATGCAGAAAAACCTAGGTGTGATGCTGGTCACAGACTAGGAAAAATGAACATGCTTTCAGAGATGTTTATAATTTTTGTGGTGTGAAGTGGCTTTAAGAGTGATCCCCCTGCCCCTTGGGGGGTTGTGTGTGTACTGGGATTGAACCCAGGATGATTAGCCACTGAGCTGCATCCCTATCCCTTTTAATTTTTTTATTTAGAGACAGGATCTTGCTAAGTTGCTGAGGCTGGCTAAGAACTTCCAATCCTGCTTCCACTTTCTGTGCTGCTGGGATTATAGTCAAGCACCATTGCACCCAGCTYTATTAGGGGCTTTTAATGATAGCTYATCTTAAAATCCTACTTTTTTACTACCTACGCATTGATTAAAAAATCAGTACACACAGTGCCAGAAAGAATTGGAATAATATTGAGAATGAAACAGTTTGGCATTTGTTATTCCCATTATCCCCTGCCCCCAAGTTTATATTTTGGAARTGGAAAGAAAAGATTTGCCTTCTGTTTATAAAGTATTGTCACTAAGAATACTATATATTGGGGCTGGGGATGTGGCTCAAGCGGTAGCGTGCTCGCCTGCCATGCGTGCGGCCCGGGTTCGATCCTCAGCACCACATACCAACAAAGATGTTGTGTCCGCCGAGAACTAAAAAAGTAAATATTTTTTAAAAAAAAAGAATACTATATATTAGTGATTTTTTTAAAATCACTAATGGATTTAGTCATTAAGAAGATGCATGTGGGAACACTAGCATTAAAACAATGTTGAGCCTGGGGATATTACAGTACAGTGATAGAGCCTAGCATGTATGAGGGCAGTTTGATCCCAGCAGCAAAAAAAAAAAAACCATTAAATATTAGAGTTGGGTATAGAGGCACATGCCTATAATCCCAGTTATTTCACAAGGCTGAGCCAGGAGCACTAGAATGGGCACTCGGTGGTAGAGTGGCCCTGGGTTCAATCCCTAGTACTGTTGCTGTCGACCTTACTCTCCTGCAAAAAATTTAGTGTTAGAATTGCCTGTTTTGAAGAATATGTCTGAAGTTAGGCAAGTAAATTATTTTCCTATAAGAGAAAGGATGGAATTGACAATTATACAGTAGGAATTTTCCTGCCTATGAGGCTAGCAAGGGAGGCTACAGAAAGAACTTGATTAGTAGGTGTGTTGCAAATTGGATTTGAGTATCAATCTGAAAAATATTAGCTCTGGTGACCTTTACTAATTTCTGAAAGGTGATTTGAAGCCACTAATAATCCAAAATTCACTTCATAAAAGAGAAGGGCTAAACAGGTTTTAATAATAGGAATAGACTATGGCATTTGTCAAAAGGAAACCTACATCCATTAAATGGACTTGAGAAGCCTTAAGCTGAATATCTTACATTCTTCATAGCAGTGGCATGCCTAGAAATTTAAGTTACAAAAACTACTGAAAGTGACATTCACATCTTAAGAATAGAAATGTAAGGTACTGATTAGTAGTACACCAAATATACTTCAACAAAGAAAACCAAAAATGGTTCCTTTGCCCTCTAAAATCAGGTAGTAAACTATAATGAGGTGACAGTCAATACTACCATTGCAGTTATGACAGGTCAAACTGGAGGTTTTGTTTGCTTGCCAGATGGTTTTTCAGAATTTGCTGTTTGGGTTTGCCTCTCCACTAGCATCCTTGTCTGCATACCCAAATTTGTCACTGTAGTATTTTAGTACTGAAGCTAGTATCTGATTTGAATTTTCATACTGTCTTTGCAGTCTTGACTTTCATAAACATTATCACTCCCCTATTATGAATCAATGATGAATTTATATTCTGCCTTTCCAATTTATCACTATTCTTACATAACATCTTCAGTGGTAAATAATGTACTGATCCTATCTGGTTTTGCTTCTGT